TCTGGAAGAGCCATGTCACCAGGCTTTCCTCTCCTAAGGAAGCTAACACACCAACTCCCCCAGCCCAGCCGAGTGGCTCCGAAGGCTGAACTGGCAAGGGCCACATGGGGCTGGCCAGGAAGGGAGAGTTATCTGTATGTTATAAAGAAAAAAAACCAGACTTGTTGGAAGACACATGGTCTCAGCCTCCTGTCCTTGTGGCTCATGCTGTCCAGCGCAGGCCTTAGCAGCAGCACAGAGCTGTTTATTATACTTCTACAATGACAGGTTGCCCTGGAAAGAGATGGAGCTGCACCCAGCACTGCCCAAAAGAAGCACCATGCAGGTCACATGAGTCATCTACGAATTCTCTGATAGCTGCATGTCGAGATGTGAAAAGAAGCATGCAACACTTACTTTAACTAATAATATATCTAACCTTATAGAATCAAACTACTATTTCAATATCAATCAATGAGATATTTTACCTTCCCTCAGTCATACTACATGTTCAGAGGCTCCTTCTTCCAGCACATGTGTGTTAGCACCTGTCCCATTTCAAACGATCAGTGGCTACTCCAGGAGGCAGCTCAGCTCTGTTGAAAAGCAAGGTGAGTGACTGCACACATATTTGAAGCATGCACAAACGCTTGACTCTTAGTTTGGTCACTTGCTAATTCTGCAACCTTGGATAAGTTGCTTAGCCTGCCCAAACCTAGTTCACCATCTGGAAAATGGAATTAAAAGCATCGTGGGGGCTGGCACAGTAGCCTAGTGGCTAAGATCCTTAGCTTGCATGTGCCAGAATCCCATATGGGCACTGGTTTTTGTCCTGGCTGCTCCACTTCCCTTCAAGCTCCCTGCCTATGGCCTGGGAAAGCAGTTGAGAATGGTGCAAAGCCTTGGGACCCTGCACCCACATAGCAGACTCAGAAGAAGCTTCTAACTTCAGATTGGCTCAGCTCCGGCTGTTGCAGCCACTTGGGGAATGAACCAGCAGATGGATCTTTTTTCTCTGTCTCTCCTCTCTCTATAAATCTGACTTTTCAATAAAAAAAATAATACCATGCAGTATTGTTAGGTGTGAGTGGCATATGGTTGGCACATACTAGAGGCTTCATAAATAAGAACTCTTTTTATGGTCATTCACATGAGTCCCTGTGCACAGTGTTTAAGTGATCTGGGAGAGTCCGCTATCTCAGCCCAAATGAAGAGCCATACACACCACTCAGTCCCCAGGAGGAAATGGTATCTTGCTTCCTGAGACAGACATCTGAGAGGTGATAGGAGCAAGGTCACATTGAAGGTGCTGTGACTTTCCCCAGAACTCCTGCAGCTGTTAGTTTTCAAAGCCTTCTGTTAATGGTACTCAGAGGGTGGAAACCTAATTAATTTCTGATGTTTAGAGGTGGGAAGTGATTCGCTGGATTTGGTCATTAAGATGGAATCTCCGTAGGTGGCATTCTGAGGAGAGGGAAAGAGACCATCACATAGAGATGCAAAGATCCTTCTTGCCATCTGATGCCCCTGCCACCATGGATCTCTGCCAACAAGAAAGCCTGCCTTGCCTGTGAGCCTGCAGAACAATGAATCAAATGCAATCTTTTTCTTAATAAAGAAAGCTAGCTTTAGGTCTGTCTGTTAAGTTAATTAAAACACACACACACACACACACACACACACACACACACACACCCCAAAACAGCAGGACTACCAAGACCAGAATGATGGTAAAACCAGTGTTTATTGGGGTCTGCTCCAGGGTGAGGTTCATTGGTGCACAAGAGAGTGGGCCAGGAAAGTCGGGCAGGACTGAGGTATGCCTAGCTTAAGTGGTGATGATGAAGCTTGAGGTATGTGTTGTCTTCTGATTGGTCAGCTCCACTTAAATGAGTCGGGTGGTTATTTTCAGTGCCACCTGGGAACTTTCTGCCTGCCCTGGGGTCCTCCAGGCTAACAACTCATTATAGTAACTGACTAATACAGAAGGCAAAATCCCAACCGGTTCCACACCTTGGATCTCTCCATTCTGGTATCGTCTCTAACTATAAAGTGCTGCCAGTAAAACACAGACAAGCAGTCAACACCTTTTTGGTTTAGCTCATTTGCCTCTCCCAGCAACAAGGATCATGCCTTTATGCCTCTTTATTGTCCCCCACTATCCCAGCATTAGGGAGCACACACATGTAGTTGATTTACCTCCTGGAAGTGCAAAATAGATACTGGGCATCACAGGAGGGTCTTCGTTTTTGTCCTCAGAGCTCTCCTCAGTCTCCAGTAGCACCTTCCAGAAGGGGTTCCATCATCACTGGTATCTCCTGCTTCTACTCACAGCCCAATGACCATCATGGATCATCTCAGCAGTGGAAAGAGAGTGAATTTTTGCTTTTTTCCTCATCTTTCTTTTGCGTAGCATAAAGCCATTGTATGCTTTAGGTGAGGAGGTATTGTTACTGGTAGTGGGAGAGATACTGGCTTAAGATAACACACTGGCTTAAGATAACAGCCATTTATATCCTGACTATCTTCTTTCACCTGCCTGGTACTTGGAATGGCTGAGTTGCCTCAGGACTGTATCTCTCACCCTTCAATAAGCTAGACAACAGTCTGCATAAAAAACATCTAAGATGTCTTGGCCCAGTGCAGTAGCCTAGTGGCTAAAATCCTCATCTTGCACACCCAGGATCCCATATGGCACCAGTTCTAATCTCAGTGGCCCCACGTCCCATCCAGTTCCCTGCTTGTGGCCTGGGAAAGCAGTCTCAGCTCCAGCCATTGTGGCTAGCTGGGGAGTGAATCAATGGACGGAAGATCTTCCTCTCTGTCTCTCCCCCTCTTTGTATATCTGACTTCGCAATAGAAACAAAATAAATCTTTTTTTAAAAATCCAAGATTTTTGACTTGCCAATTTAGGGCAAACATATGAGAATTCCCTGCTGACAACACAGAGAAATCAATCCATCCTAGCTAAGCCCTGTCCAAATTGCGGACTCTCAGAATGATGAGCTTATAAAGGCTTGCTGTGTCTGCATCTGCCAATTCCTTCCACCCTTGATCTGAGGTATTTTTTTCATAGCAGCCCAAATGGACCAAGACATGCCAGGATGATAATAGATTCCATTTGTCTGTGGGTTGACTCCCAAGTGTTTCTAAAATCCGTCTACTTCTTTCCATCTGCACTGCCAAGTCATCCTTACTTCTTGCCTAATCGCAGTAGTGCTAACTGTTCTCAATCCCTGTAGCTTCCTGCCAACACAGACTCTGGAGGCACCAGTGACAGCTCAAATGATTGGAAGACCTGGATTATATTCCTGCCTCCAGGTCTGGCCCCAGTCCAGTCTGACCAATTATGGGCATCTGGGAAGCAAATCAGCAGATGGGAGATCCTTCTCTTTCTTTTCCTTTCTGCTTCTCTCAAATATATTTTGCAATAAATAAATACAAATAAATAAATAATGTTTTGTTGGGTATTAAGTTATAGTTGAGTGTTTTAATTTTCAGCACTTTAGCACTTTAAAATGCTGTTTCATTTACTCCAAGGTTGCATATTTTGGATATGATGTCTGCAGTGATCCTTACTTTTCTTTTCTCTCTGTTCCCTTGTTCCTCTCCTCTCAATGTCTTCTATAAATTTTCTTTTTCGTGCTGATTTTTTGTCATTTCTGGCATGCTTTAGGATGTGTGTGTGTGTGTGTGTGTGTATGCATGCATATGTAACTAATCAGGGTTTATGGAACTTCTTCAGTTCTTGGAGCTTATGTTATCAACTTGGAAAAACTGGCATTATTCCTTTCAATATTTTTTTCTCCCTTCTCTTTCTGGCACTCTGGTTATTCACATATATTAGTTCCTATAATATCTTCCAAGACATAAGACTCTGTACATTTTTCCATAATCTTTTTATTTCTGTGTTTCATTTTGAAGATTATACTGCTGTGTCTTCAAGTTCAATAATTACTGCAGTGTATCTGTTAGTTTTAATCCAATCCAGTGAAATTTTATTTATGAAAGTCCCATGTCTCTCTTCATGTTTTAATTTATATCCGTGAGCATATACCCTATATTTACAGTAGTTGTTTTAATATCCCATCTACTAATTCCATCCTATTACTTCTGGGATGATCTACTGAATTTATCTGCTGTATGTGAGTCACATTTTCTTATTATTGTATCCAGGAACTTTTGATTGGTCACAAAACGCTGGGAAATTTTATGTTGCTTAGTTCTACATTTTGTAATATTCCTACAGAGATAGATCTATTTTGAAAGTCAATGAAATAATCATGAATTGATTTGATGTATTCAAGTCTTGTTTTAAAACTCTTTAAGGGAGCAGCCAGACTATCCTTTGTTCCAAAGTGATTTAGCTTCACTGTTGGCACATAGCTCTTCTAGAATTTCTTGCAAGAGCCTCATGTCTTCATCATGACCTGCACTCTGGCTAGCAGGAACTTGAACAGTTCTTGGCCTTGTATGAACTCTGGAAATTGTTCATCTGAGAACTCCCTGATCACAGTTATGTCCTTGCAAATTGTTTTGTCTAGGTATTAGTCTACATGTGTAAAGAATGTTCTCTCGCCAAAGACTAGTGCAATCCCTATTCAGGTTGCTGAAAATCATCCTTTTTGGAACTCTGCCCTGACAATTTTAGTTCTTTTGGTTCCTTGGCTCCAAACTCGTGCATTTTCAGATCAACAAGGCTGCCTTGTTCTGTCTGGGCTGATCCTCATTCTGTGCTGTAGTCTAGAAGTTACCTCCAACACACTCAAGGAGAAAATAACCCATATTTCTGGAGCTATTTCTCAGCACAATTCCCTCCTTCTTCCAAACACCCTTTCCTCCTCAAACTCATCCTCCTCAGCTCCAAGAGACTTTTCTTGCTGTTCTTAGGATCATTCATTCTGCAACATAGTCCAGAAAATTCCCTCACTCATAGTCTGCTCAATAGTAAAATGAGTCACATCTAGTCACAATTGCTCTATCAAGGGAACAACATAAACCTCATTTTCCCCCAAGAATTCTCAACTATAAAAGAGGTGGCCACAATATAGAGTACCTTCCCCACTTACCGGAATGTAAGCTTGGAAACTATGTCTGCCATTCACATGAATGCATTTCCAGTTCAGAGCACCACCACCACAACAACAAAACATAATCTTGCAATCCTGGGGATAGATGTTGGCATGACTAAGGGAAAGCAGAGCAGGATCAGGCAGTAAGGGAGGGAAAGAGAGCTCATGGCAAATATAGGAACTGCCAGAGCCCTTGCGGTTTCCAGACTGGCATTTGGGTCTCCTTTCCAATCTGAACCATCACTGTGATGCAGGCTTTCCATTTGAGCCTGGCTATTTTCATAATAAAAGACCTGGAAGCAAATGCTTCGAAAATGTTGGTATTGTGTAAAAGCAATCAATCATGTTTTCCACATTTTCCATGGTTCAAAAACAAAAATAAGCTTCAGAGATCTGCACACATAGCATGGTCTGACTTTGCTGTGCGACGAAGCATTTGTTGGGGTCCCCTGAAGGCTGTTGTGGGAAAGCATTGGCCCATGGATGAAATCATACCCTCCCCCATCTCACACAGTGTGACTTGTATCCCCCTGAGGAACATGACATCAGATGACACTAATTCCTACCCTCACTCTCTCAGCAGTTCAGGTGCTGTACCTGCCTGGATGAATCCAGTAGGCTACACAGACATAGGCTGACAGATAACTACAGTGTCAGAATATTGCAACCAAAATGAAAGCCAAAGACTCATCTAACACGCCAGTTAAACCAGTGAGATTCCAGTTGGAAAAGCTGAGTCACAGACCTAGGTTATAGGGCAGAACACACTTCTTTATAAGCAGGAACCTAATCGCATGTGACCATCACGGCTCCCTTCAAGATCGTTCAGCTGTCTTTCTTTCCTGCCATGTTTATCTCCAGCTCCTGACTTTATCGCTATACACCGCTTCATGCTGTAGGGCCCACATTTGTAGCCCTCCTCCCAACGATCGGCACCCCGCTTGCCTCTAACTCCCACAAACAACTGCAACAAACAGTCCTGCACAACCTGTGTGACAGTTTCTTTGGGGAATATATTCTAGAAGGAAACGGCAGAGTCACAGGACATACATGTACTTAATTTTGCAAAACAGTACCATGTTCCTCAGGAAACACTAGCTGAACAGGCTTCTCAAATTTTGTCCTGTGCACAGGGTGGATGGAGAATTCTTGCTTGTGGAGATCAAATCTGTGCATGCAAGCTATTCATAGCAGCACCTTTAGTCCCTCTAAAACAGAGGACTAGCACTTCCTCCTCCTCCTCAGTTTTAACAATTGCAAATGTTCCCAGACACTGATCAATACCACTCCTTGTGAGGAAGCAAAATCCCCCCAGTCAAGATTTAGTTTTATCCTATTTTTGACAACATTTAGCATCATTTAGCTCTCTGATATTTTTCTCTGGCACTTGTTCATATTTTCAACAGTCGTAGATTACTTCTGTCAATTTCTTTTTGGGGTTGCTGACTTTTTTATTTATTTATTTACAAGAATACTCAAGTTCTTGACCTTTGCCCTTGAGTCGAAGAGCTCATTAGCTCTAGTCAGTGTATGCCATCAGCTTTAGCATGGCCTACATTTTCAAGGTTTATAAACAGGCTCTCTTTGCCCCGGAGCACAAGCGATGACAGAGAAAACGGCATCTGTAAGGAGACAGGCCACCCAGTCTGCAGGGTTTTATGCCAACTCCAGCTAACAAATATCCTACTCTTAATGCTGGTCTCTTATCCTGGATTTCTTCCTTGTTTTCTGCTTGCATCTGAATCGTTGATTTTCTCTCAGGAAAACTGCTCAGCATCAAAGCACAAGAGCCTGGGATGAGATCAGTGAAATTCTTGGTGGAACCCATGAATCTCCCCTCCCCCAACACAGAGCCTTATTGTACTACAGGTCCAACATTTTTCCTCCCTGGCCACAAACAGCTGCATATACCAGGTGGATTCAGTCTCTCTGTTGATGGCTCTCTCTCACTTAGAAGCACTTTGTGTTTGAGGTGCTAATACTACACTGTGGATTACCACCAAATCCTCCTTTGTTAACATACAGATTCAATCATCCGACACGTGACACCTACAAACATCATTGTAAACACTTTAGACCTGTAAGTTAACAAGAAGTCGTCTTAACTATGGTGGCTTATTTACCAGCTGCCCATTAATGAATGAACCAGGACTGAAAGCAAAGTATGATTTTCCTTCCAGCAAAATGGCTAACTAAATACAACCAGCTTTCACCAGACCCAAAGTGACAGCTTTCATGGGGACAGCACTTGCTTCGCAGAGGTGCAGCCACCCAACATGATTAGTTGTCTTTGGAAAGCCTTGTCGTAGCTTCCACTTCACCTGAGAACTGGACACAGCCGGCCCATCTGCTTGGGAAGTGCATGCATTGGCCATCACCTCCCACCAGCCTGTGAAGATGACTGGATCAAGCCTACACATGGGCTTCCTGAAGTAGGCGCAGCCTGGCATTAATCAGCATGTAGCCTTTTCCCAGCGTGCCCAACTGCAATAATCTTTTAGGCCTCTTGACTCCAGCAGGGGCCACAGACAGACAACAGCTAGCATTTTTCAAATGGCTTTATTAAAGGCTATTAGTATAAAATATGAACAAGTTACAAGTTGTCAGTAAGAATTTATCATTTTTCTGAAAATGTGTATCAAAGAAAGGGAGGCCACCGAATGTCCACATGTGGCGAGAGGCTCCTGCTCCTTACCACAGGGAGGGCTCCCCAAGGCCAGGGGGCCTGGGAAGCAACTCCCAGGTGAGGCTGAGCCTGGCTTCTCTGCCTTCCTGGGGGAGCTTTTATAAAACAATCGTACAGAGCAGAACAGTGAGTCCTTGAACTGAGCCCCGGGTGTGGAGAGTCAGGGTGGATGAGGAGCCCAAATTGCACACAGGCAGCTGCTGAAAAGTATGCATTTAAAAAAACCATACAAACTCCTGGCATCCAAGAGTCCAGCATGGGACTGGAGGCTAAGGGGGATGGGGGGGGGAAGGGGGGAGATGTGGGAATCGCAGGGATGACACTCCTTATGCAGGACAAACCCACCTTGGCAGCAGCATTGCCTTGGGGGGTCAGGAGAGTCTACCAGGCTGGACGGGCTGGGCTGGACTGGACGCCAGTCCTCAAAGAATTCCTTCCTTCTGGAAGCACAGCAAGACCACATGACTGGAGGACTCCCCCAAGACCTTCTGCTTTGGCTTTTAACGCGTATTTCATCTCTGGAGAAATGTTATTAGGAGAATTAACCAAATACCATGTTGGGGCGGAATCTCAGATGGTGATCCGTAAAGCTGCAGCTTTCCACAGTCCCTCACCCTTCAACTTGAGGAAAACTTGAAGGGAATGCTGGGCTTTACAAGCCAATGGGCATGAAGCAAAATGGCCTCCCAAGAAGACAGATCACCCCAATTAGTTATTTCCAGATCTTTCTTCCCTACTATACCAGTACAGATGAACACCGACTCACATGCACCTGCTACACTAATTCTGACACAGCCTGCAATCAGGGAGGTACCAAGTAGAGGCAGGTGCCTCCACTCTGAGGCTCTGTGCCCTGGGAGAGCTGGTATCCTGCTAAGGCAGTCCAGCTGGGATCTCTCAGCCCCTTCCCCTCACATCCCCCGCGCCCCCTCCGGAAGGCTTTTCCCCTGGCATGCATCAACTTAAACAGTACAGAAAGCACCTCACTGAAGGAGGTAGGGAAATTGCAAGACTTCAGGGACCAGAGCATGCCTGGGAACATAGAGCAATTGGCAGAAACCAAATTCCATGTTGGCTTAGCCGTAATTTGGCAGGAATTTCCCAGGAATCAGGGTAGAGTTGCCATGTGTATTACCTTTGAGCTATATAAAATATTCTGGAAATTATTTCAAAAGGTGTTATGAAATAGGCATTTAAAAAAAGAGAGAGAGAGAGAGACACTTTGGTGTTGAGACCAAGTGCTCACCGGCATGGCTGACTGGGATAAAGGATTAAGGCTTCAGGTGAGGCAGACACAGTGATGGCAAATGTGTAGACCACATAGGACGAGGTTTGTGGTTCTGCTTGGGCACCTGCTGCAACTCAGGGACCACAGGGATCCAGGGCACCAGGCAAGGGCAGCAGCTACTCTAGGTGACAGCCATATTTCTCCAGCAGGCCAGTAGCAAGAGCAACTGCTTCCCTCAAGGACAGCCCGTCAGGGGAACCCGGCTGCAGTGAAGAGCTCCAAGGACTGCTGCTGGGGTATCCAGAAAATCCATTCTTCCACTTCCTTCCCAGTCAAGGTTGGGGAGGGTCCATGATGATATAACCTGGTCAGTCCTGGGGATGAATGACATTCACTGCCTGCTCCCTCTCCATCTGACACTGGGAGGTTCTCATGTGACTGTTTGGAACAGCCCTGCCCTCCAACAAGGCCCTGACAACTCAGGCATCCAATACAGGGAACCATCAACAGGTCACCTTAGCAATGAGAGCTTCCAAATCGGCCAAATAAGACCAAGAAAATGTGCCACTAAGTCTAGATACTAGAAAAGTTAAGAACAAAACTTCAAAACATGCAACTCTTCTCTGAACAAGGACCAAGACATTGAGTTCAGCATCAGGACAGCTTAAAGACAGCAGTCACCTGCCCAGTCTCACTCCCAAAACTACATGAGGGGAAGCATGGCACAAGACGTGAGGAGCGTAGCTTCAGTGGCAGTGGCCCCGGACAGCTCTGAGGACTGGGTGAAAGCCAACATCAGTGTGACCGAAGCCATTGTTGTCACCATCCCAAGGAACCCCATCCCAGAAGGGGTGGGCATGGGAGGAGAGACGAATAGAGGAGGAGGTGGAGATCACTTGTGCAATCCCAGTTACACGGTCACACGTCTGAGAAGATTCTCCCCCGTGGAGACTGAATTGCATTCTTGACCATTTTTTAAAAATTCCAAATGTAAAATTTCTGTTATTAAATCATTGAAAATAGCACATATATCTGGCTTCACCAAAAACAAAAATTTAAGAAGGGAAAAAAAAATCTGGCAATGTTGCCCACTTTCCAATAATTAAGGAAAAAGTGTAGAGAAGCTGAGAGAAAGCACGCAGAGAAATGCTGCCCCGGCCCTCCTCCACCATCACGCCGCTTTGGAAAATGTTTTGGGGTGCTTGGCTGCATTTTTTGGTTGACCACAGTTTACCAATTGTCCAGAAAATCAAATCCCGTCTTCAAGATGACATTGCTGGAGCTGACCTGTAGAAGGGACAGAAGGAAGGCATGAGTAGGTTGCTTTTTTTTTTTTTTCCAGTGATGCATAATCTAAAAACAGCATCTCATTTAAAATGACCCAAATGAAAGACTCTGCTTCTGCCTTGCAGTCTCCCTGACCTCAATTTACCTTAGCACTTGGAACTAGAAAATCAAATAAAATCCCACAGAAGTGACCCTGCCGGCTGCCACCACAAACCCTCTGGACCCTAGGCATGAGTGTGAGCTGCTCACAGACCCAGTTACAGAGAAAAGAATACCACATCTTATGTTTCTATACCTTCTACTGTGCAATGACAGACCAGCTTCAGTGTGTTCATCATCAAATAAGAAAAAAACGTAAAGACATTCTCTCTAATGTGAGAGCAAACATGAACAAGAGAGACACAACAACACAAAACAGAAAAACCTGCAGAGTTGAGGGAGTGGCCATGTGAAAGGTGACGGCGCGGGGAGAGGCAGCCGTGCAACAGACCATGTGACTTACCCACAAAGCTTTGCTGCAAAGACAGACCAGTGCAGAGTGAAGCAAAACATGGGAAACAGGAGCCAAGGTTTCCTTGCAATTGCTTAGCTGTATTTGTATTTCACTCTGCCCTCGACTCTTGGATGTCTGTTCCTCCAAGTGCCTCTCGGGTGCTGTCTCCTGCTGCTCGCTCTCCCACCCAACCTTTTTCTAGTTCTCTTCAGAGCTGAGACTGAATAACACCCCTTTTATGTAAATACATCCTTCAGAGGAAGGCCCAGGTGCAGAGTCCTGGGGAAAGAACACCAGCAGAGACGAGGAGAGAGTAACCTGTCTGTGGGAAGGAGCAGATAGCAGGAAGATAAAGGACACACAGCGATGAGATGGGCAGGGTATCAGAGGCAGGGAGCAGGTAGGGCTGAGTGGGCTGGCTTCACAAGTGGGTCACCACAGAGGAAGGCTGGACCGCTGATGTGGAGCAGGCATAAGATAGAAGGTGCCAGAATCTCTAGGCCTCTCTACACAGGAGGACAACAGGGTGCAGTCATCTGCAAAGGGAGGCATGAAGACACGAGGCACCACCTCCAGGAGACACCCAGAGTCATAGTAAGAAAATAACAAGCCAACTGGTTATCAAATGGGCAGAAGCTGGCATTGGGCACAGAGGCTGAGATGCTGCTGGAATGCCTGCATCCCATCCTGGGGATGTCTGGGTTTGACCCCTTGCTCCGCTTCTGCTCAGCTTCCTTGCTCATGCGCACCCTGGAGGGCAGCAGGTGAGAAGTGCAAGCAGTGGGATCCCTGCCACCCATAAGGGAGACACAGACAGAGCTCCCAGCCCCGGCTTTGGCTCTGTCCCCCGCTGCTGCGGCAGTGAGCCAAAGCCCAGGAGATCACCCTCTATCTCTGTGCCTTTCAAATTAAAAAAAAAAAAAAAAAGATAAAAAACAGGCAAGGGAATTCAACAGATATTTCTCCAAAGAGATTATACAGATGACAGACAAGTATATTAAAAGATGCTCAGTGTCACTACTGATCAGGGAAATACCAATAAAATCACAGGGAAATACCACCTCATAGCTATTAGGATGGTTACTATCAACAAAACAGGAAATAACAGACACTGGTGCGGGCTGTAAGAAAGTGCAACCCTTGTGCATTGTTGGTGCAAATGCAGCATGTTGTAGCCACTGTGGACGACAAGATGGGAAAGCCTCAAAAATGTCAAAACCAGGGCCTGCGCTACGATGTAGCACGTTCAGCTACCACCTGCAATGCCAGCAGCCCATGTGGGAATTGATTTGAGTCCCAGCTGTTTTACTTTAGATTCAGTTCCCTGCTAACTCTGCCTCTCAAATAAATAAAATAAATCTTTTTAAAGAATGTCAACACCTGGGGCCCAACACAATAGCCTAGTGGCTAAAGTCCTTACCTTGCCCAAGCCAGGATCCCACATGGGTGCCGGTTCATGTCCCAGAGGCCCCGCTTCCCATCCAGCTCCCTGTTTGTGGCCTGGAGAAGCAGTAGAGTATTGCCCAAAGCCCTGGGACCCTGTACCCTCATTGGAGACCTTGAAGAAGCTCCTGGCTTCAGATCAGCGCAGCTACAGCCATTGTGGCCCTTGGAGAGTGAGCCAGAGGATGGAAGATCTTTCTCTCTGTCTCTCCTCTCTGTAAATCTGACTTTCCAATGAAAATAAATCAATCTTTTTTAAAAATAAATAAAATATGTCAACACAGGGGGTCCAGCACAGTAGCCTAATGGCTAAAGTCCTCGCCTTGCATGTGCTGGGATTTTATATGGACACCGGTTCATATCCCAGCTGCTTAAAAGAAAATTCTGACACCTGCTACTACATGGATGACCCTTGAAGACACCAGGCCAAGTGAAACACACTAGTCACATAAGGACTGATGTGCTGACCACACTTTCCTGGGGTACCTACTGTCATCGGATTCACACACAGAAAGCAGAGGTGGGGCAAGGATGAGCAATGGGAAGCTCGTGTTTCATGGGTTCAGAGCTTCAGTTTTGTAAGATGAAAGTTCTATAGACAGCTGGTGGTGCTGCCTGCACAGCACTGAGTGAACGTAACGATGTCCATTTAATTCACAGATGATTAAGACAGTAAATGGCATGCTATCTGTATTTTACCAAAGCAAAAAAAAATTGTTCTAATGTTAAAAAAGAGGGTGGGGGGACCACAGGACAGCTGAGCAGGCCCCAGGGCCAATGGATGCTGGATGACAGTGACACAGAAGAAACCACATCCAGGCTTGCCCATCCAGGTGGCAGGAGCCCAGCAAGGTGCACACTAAGGAAGGAGATCCAGGGCCTGCACCAGTGCCCCATCCACCTTGTTGCTCCCATTTGCTCAACATCCAGACTCAACCCTACGGAGGGGCCGCTGTCTGCACGGTCGGCTCCTGATGAGAAGGCCCTGGTCACAGAGCAGCTCCTCCGGCACTCGCTCAGCCTGCAGGCTGCACAAGCACCAATTAGACAACTGGAGGAAGACAGCCCTCTCATCACCGCCTGACCCAGGGACCGTCCTGACCTCACCCCAGCTGTGCAGGACTCAGCAAGCCTCCGAATATTCCAGAGAGGCTCTCAGGCGCTGACACTGTCCCAGCCACACAGTGCTTCCCCAGAAAGGAGGAGCCTGGCCGACACCCTCCCCCGATGCATGAACAGTTACATGTATTATTTTGTATTATTGTATTATTTTGTCTCCATTAAAACAATGCCTAAATAGCAACCTCTTTCTCATTTTTGTGTAATGTCAGTACCATTTAAAGTCATAAGCAAATACTTTATCCTTTCTTTGCTGACTCAATTTCTTAAGCAACGCAGACTGATGGAGACAGTGGTCACTGTGGCCACCAAGAAACAGGAAGACACTTGAAAGTGCCCTGGTTGACAGTTCCCTCACACCTTCTCCGGGTCCCACTCACCTTGCCTGGTGAGGCTGCTGTGTCTTCCTTGTTGTATCCCTGTACATCTAAGCTCAGCCTGCCTGAAAGCAAGCTGTACCCAACACATCCCCACCCCGCCCCCTTCCACTCCATCACACCCTAGTGATGTCTGTGGGTACCTGTCTTCTTCACCAGGCTGCACAGGCACCCCAACCTTCCAGATTAAGAATGGAGAATGATTGCTCTGCCAGGTGCCATTTGAAATATTTATAACCTCATTCACAGGCCACACAAAATTGTTAACAGGAAAAGGAGCCAGCTTGTGGATGTATGGTTCCCAGTTCTCTTCTGTAGCTGCCTTGGCAGGGCCTAGACCAAATGAGCTCTTGGGCCTTATACATGGACAGATGTCCCCAGCTTGGGATGGGGGACCCACCTTGCGAGCTCGCCTGTGCTCTCCTCCCCCATGATATTTGCATCTACAGCAGAGCCACAAACAACCCTGTCCCCTGACACCAAGAATCTCTTCTCCCAGCTATAAGAAGTAGGGCACCTGTAGAGAAGCCTTGCACAGGGCCCCTTGATGGAAGCAGCCCTAGTGCGGCCCACCCACCTGTGCAGGCTTGGGTTCCAAGAACAAGGCATCCTCCAAGTCATCGAGCCTGGCCGTGGTTGGAGAGGGCAGCTTCCGGTCAGCCTCTGAAGGCTTGCCCTCGGGCAACGTGCCGGCAGAGGGAGCCTGGGCTGGCAGGGGTCTCTCCGACTCAGCGAGGGGAAGCACACGCTGCTCCTGGCGGACAGTGCTGGGCCTCTCTGCTTTGGCCTCCCTGTCCTTCTGGCTGGGCTCCTGCCGGTAACTGACGGGCAAGACCTTCTCTCCTTTTTCCATGGACTTGATCTGGCTGGGGGTCAGCGACTGAAACTCAGCCTCTGGCCCCTCGCCCCGGGACCGCTCAGCGTTGATCTTCCAGAAGGACGCCTCTTCCTCCTTGCGGCCAGGACCCAGAGCATCCAGGCTGGAAGACCTGCTGCCCTGGGAAGCCTTGAAGGCCTGAGAGCCCTGGGAGGCTTTGCACAGTGACCTCGTTTCACTGGTGGCCGTGCTGGTGCCGGGCTCCTGGATGTTCAAGGAGGAGATGCTGAACTCCATCTGACTCTGCAGCAGGATGGGATGGGGGAAGGAGAGAAAGAGAAAGCAGCCCTTAGATTCTGGCAGAAACAGGTGCACCTGCTCTGGCAGATGTACACATGTGCTCTGGAATGCCACAGAGCCATCTAGCTGCCTCCGAGTGGCAAATGGCAAACTTAGCACATCTCTGCAACGTGTGGCATCAGCAGCTTAGATGCCAATGCCCTAGGGGTGAGGGCTCTTAGCTTGGCAAGTGGCACACCCAACTGTGTCCACCAATGTTGTTATGGATCCCTCCTAGGGGTTCCAACAGGTGACACCCAACAGGTGACACCCCTCATTGGGAACAGGATAAGGTGAGATTCACAGTGCCATAGCAGAGCAGATGAGGAAGGGTCCAGTGCCTGGCACAGCCCTCAACCCGCTAGTGCCCTGCAGATGATCCTGTTGAGCCAGTCTAGCAAACAAATCCTTACCTAGAAACTAAACCACCTCTTGAGGCAACAATACACATAACAGCCTTGTCTTCTGAGTTCGACAGAGCGAGCAGCACATTCTCAAAATCATTTCTGTCATCAATCCTGAGAATGACTTCTTCCCCATCAATTCTACTCCCTCAACCCAAAGCCCCTGGTTAATTTCAATATTAAATAAAGCCACAAAACCACACTATAGGGGTCAGTGTTGTGTGTACAGCGAATGAAGCTGCCATCTGCAATAATGATGTCTCCTCTTCTAACTCAGCTCCCTGCTAACGTACAATAGAAAATTACTCAAGTGCTTAAGTCCCAGCAGCCATGTGGGAGACCTGGAAGAAGCTCCTGAATTCTGCCTTCAGCTTGGTTTAGCTCCAGCTGTTGTAGTCATTTGGGGAGGGAATCAACAGAAGGAAGATCTCTCTAACTTTCAAAGAATAACAATAATAATTTAAAAACCTACATTATAGAAAATTTGAGAAGCAGTGGCAAGAATCAAATATGTCCCTTCCCTCTTCCCAATAGCACTGGCATTAAGGAAGCTTTTGTGTAACCTTTATCACACAGGTATTTTACAAGATTGTAGTCCTATTTTAGGTACATAATCCAGTGTTCTGCTTTCTCATTTAATCAGCCCCATCATCATGTTGCCACATGGACTTCGTGCCCATTATTTTCACTCTTTCAATGAGTAGCTGACCCATCACCCACTCGCTATCATAATCCACACTGTTATGGTTGAGGTTGTCATGAACATCTCCCCCACTGGATTAACATCTTCATAGATGTCTGCAAATGCAGTGTTAAACAACAAGAGGTTTGAACCATCCTCTAATGTTTTTGAATATACACTCATAAATCTATTTTGTGGAGGCTAAATCCATTTTACATGCCACCTGCTCCATACATGAGAGAAGCATTCACAATCACCAAGTATAAACAGTTAAAGCAATCTGTGTTATCTAATACATGAGACACAAACATTTATTACTTTAATACACATTTCTTCACTTAATAAATGGTCCATTCAATTCTTTAGGTTTTTTAATAAACAAACGGCATTCTCCCAGGACTCTCACCAATGAATGGGGCCATGTTGTTTAGAGTAAGGATAAGAATGTCGCTTTTCCTATAAATACTATAGGTCCTGTGCACAGTGTCCTCTGAGACTTTTCCTCCAAGCCTAGCTTCTCATGGCCCTCCAGGCCCAGAGGAAGTCGAGGCCACGAGGAACTCAAAAAGCACAAACGCAGGCTGCCTTGAAGCTGAGCATCATCGGAGACAAAATCCAAGACATGAACATCAAAGCTCTACTTGTGCCAGCTGCTGTGATGAAGAACAAGTGCAGACGACTGAGGGCGCCTGGTGCCTTGAGCCTGTGGTTATTTTTACTCTTTTCATTCTACAAATGAGAACAGGGAGGGCTGGAAAGACGAAGTACACAGCCCTAGGTCACTCACCAGTCCATTACGGGATTGCACAGCTGGGATCTCAACTCAGATCAAATGATTAGAAGTTATCTCAGAGCATCACTGCAGCAGGAGGCCCACACACCAGTACCAGGCACAATACCCATGGGAACAGTTGGGGAGGGGCTTGCACACAGCACAGCTAAAAGATAGGTTTATTCTTACGTAAAAACTGTTTTTTGCAATTCATGCATAACTTTACCTAATATGTGTTTTCTGCAAACTTTATTCACGATCGAATCTGATGCTTCAAAGACTATCAGAGGGAAGCCTTCTGAATACTCTGCATACTTCCAAATCCCACAACAGAACACAGGAAGACTGTGGGCACAGAGATGACGGTTCCCTTAAACAAGCAAATCACTAAAGATAGTTTGGAAGCTTGCCTAGGACTCAGAGGACAGAGCTGCCTTTGATGTGGAAATTGTAGTGTAAGGCAGGCGCTCAATGCCATGTGCTTTGTCAAACCCCAGGCTTTTTTAGAATCAGCAGTTTCTTTCATGGGGGATCTTGGCTTAGAAGCCTCTGACTGCACATCCTGTCTACGTGGAAGGCAGTAAGAGATTGAACCAGGGATGCTGGGAAGGGAAGCCATTCCCAGGCTGCTCTGGGGGCCCTGGTAGAAAGGAGTCAAGCAAGTGAAACTACCAACAGAACTGCTTCCTGGGCCAGAGGTACCTGCTCAGCATGCAGGACAGTGCTGGCAGGCAGGGCTGGTTATCTGGCTTGGGGGGCCTCCAGGGTGAAGAGGGGAAATGCAAGAACTGAAAGAGGCTCAACTATATTTGCTTCTATGTATTGCTTCCTATCTTCTTCACTTTGCAAATGTCATGTTGCATGACCTGGACTTCCTGTCCTTCGGCTCACTGTGCCGGCTGCTGGGTCTCCACAGAGGGAAGGGCTATATCAACCAGGCTTTTACACAGACTGGAATGGGGTAAAGGAGAAGGGGAGAGAAAGCACTTCCTTTCCTGTCCAAATCTAACTCCACTCAGCTCTAAGAACTCCAGAATCATGACAAAAATGGGCTCCAGCAGGACCAAGCAGGAGTCAGGGATTGGGGCAACGCCCCATTCCTCCAGGATAGCAGCATCCCCTCTCCCCCAGCATTTCATCCTACCCAGGACATGTAGCACCAGGACAAAGCAAAAGAGGCCTCTGAACTCATCTTCAAAGCAGTGCAATCATGGGGGTCCTATGGAAGCAGCACCTTCCACGATAGCCCCTGGGATCAACCTAAAGAAAGTTCTAGCACTGTATGTCTTTAGGTGTCCACACTCTTGGCCACTCTGCCTCTCTCCTGCTTGGGGACTTGGCTGCCCACCCATGAGGCACTGTCCAGCTTCTCCCTAAATGCTGATCAAGATGCTCAAAGCTCTCCCACCTGCCAAGCCAAACCCACAGGCACCTGCTTGCCTCCACCTGCTCCTCTGCAAGACATGGCAGATCTCCCACCAGCCATCCCATTCTGCCCTGGACCAGCCCATCTGTCCCTAAACCCTGGCAGTTCTTCCTCCCCAGTCTGCCTCCGAGTCCACACGAGCACAACCATCTTTTCTTCACTGCTCTACCCTCACCTGCAGAGCCTCCTCCATCCCCAGACACACCTGTACAGAGCTGACTCACTCCAGAAGGGCTGCACCTGCCTGCCCCACCTCACAGCACTGCTCTCCTCCCCCCGCTCTGGGATGCCTCATGGCAATCTTTGACACCATGCCTGTCCCCACTCCAGACCTGGCTCTGAAGAGGACTGGCAGCTTGCACTCCTCCCTGGAGGACAGCCAGGCAGGGAAGTACCCCTCCACCTGGAATGTTGTGCTTCAGCCAACGCACCTGTCCCCTCCTCGGTCTTGTGTGGTCAGTGCCAGCCACCTTTCCCCAGGCTGCACACCTGGCTAGCTGCCCTGTCCCAGGGACTATACAGGCTTCAATTCAGGAAGTATTCCCTGCCAGTGGGTGGATTCCACAAGGTAGGAAAGCCTCTCCTGCTCACAGATCTAGCCCCTTCCTTGAATTTCTCTCACAACCACTGGAGCCACATACCCTCTGAGGCACCATCGAAAGTGAGGAGGGCAGAGCCCCTGACCATTCCAGAACCATGAGGTCCTGTGGGAATCCACATGATAGGACAATAGCACAGTCCCCCAAAACTGTAGGAACACTGCTGCTCAGACCTAAGGCCCTGGTACCAGGTATCCAGGTCAGCTCTGCTGTTGCAAATCCATACATAGCCTGCAGGTCCTGGCAAGGAGGAATGGAAACCATGTCCATGCCCCAGGACAACAGGGTGAGACATGGGAGGAATTAGAGTCAGGGGAGTGGGTCCCCAGGAAAGCTGCAGGTGTCCCCTTACTTGCAAGGACAGACGTGGAATTATCCTGACCCCCAACCTTGCATGGCTCAGCAACACAAAGTAGCTTCAGTTTGCAGAGAGTTCACTGTATTCCAGGTACTGTGCTAGAGCCTTTAAACACATTTGCTCCTTTAATCTGCTTAACAGTCCAAAGAGGTAAGCAGGATTACTATCGCCATTTAATTAGAAAAGATAATGGCCCCGGCTGGCCAGCAGCTTCCTTGGGTTTCAGGCACTGGGTGGAAGGTGAAAGGAATGGAGTTGTGGGTGCAAATTTTCTTATTTCCAGCAAAAAGTCCATTTTCTCAGGTGTTGAAAAAAAGAGCTGGGCTCTTGGGGAAGAAGGCCATGTTGGCCCTCTGCCACCGCATGGAGCCATGCCAAGCTGGGTTGAGCATCAGGTGCTGCAGGTGACAAAGACCTGGAGTCCACTAGGTCAAGTCATCAGTACTGGCTCCAGGTAGTGAGGGGTAAGGGACAGGGGAGTAAATAAGGAAGTCCCCTCTCCCTCTATCAATGTCCCCGATGTGCAAAAGAGCCCAGGGAGGAGCTGCCTAGAGGACTGCATCCAGGCAAGCCAGACAGCAGGCACCCATGTGAGAAATCGGGGCTCAGCTGGCCATGTCCGTTCTAAAAACAGCGAAAGCACATCGGAGGCCGGTCTCTATTTTTACACCCTACTCATTGCAGTGGAATGTGTAATATTTCAGTAAGGGGGCATGCATGCCG